ATAATTACGTTCTGAAATATGTAATGGATCTATATCTACTTTTATTTTTCTGAAAGCTTCTCTATAAAATGGTTTAACTATATTAATAGCATAATTAGGATTGCTTTTTTCAGATTTATCTATATCATGGAGTGTTGCTGGAAATTTTATACCTTCAAAATTTGCTATATTTGCATTTCATCTAAGTCTCCGGATTTCATTAAGATGTGGTAGCTTTCTATTAGCTTTTATTGCTTTCTCTTTTGTGTGATATGCACTTATACACTATTTAAAACACTCATTATTGTCTTTATTTTGTGGATTAATTATTCCTAGTTGTGGCTTATCTAAGGCTTCTAGTGAAGGTAAATAACTACTACCTTGCAATGGTCTGAATGCACTTATTTCAAGAAATACCTCTTTTGCTTGGACAAATAACCATCCAGATTCTTGTAATGCCTCATCTTCTATTTGATCTATAATTTCATTATATCCCTTTTCTATTGTTGCATTAATTCGATCTTTTCTAATAATTTCTATTGTTTTATACTTGAATAGAAAAGTTTTATATAAAGGTTTTGGAGTTTTCAGTTTAATTTTTTTTATATATATATATAACACAATTCTTACTTTTAATTCACCTTTTAAAGCTAACTCTTTTTTATAAATATCTGCAATTTTTTCTTCAATTGTTTTGAAGAAAGCTAATGGCTCACCCTCGGCATAGTATCCTTTTGGTACAAATGCATAATAATCACATACCTTATCTTTATTAAATTTTCTGGCTTCTGCTATTCTATTAATATATGGATCCTTGATTTTTTCGAAATGAATATTTGGTTCTTCTTTAGCAGTATCATATTCTGAATCACTTGGTTCGCTATCTTTTTCGTTATCTATTTCCATTAAATCATACCATTCTTTATCATTTTTAGGTATATGCTTTGATCTAATTTTTTTATTGTTTTTTATTTCCGGCTTTGATAACCATTTTATTAATTCATCTATCATTAAAATTGATTTTTTTTTTTGTTTTTCTTGAGTATTAGAACTTGATCCTGCTTCTGTATTTGGAATATCATCAGTTAAAGGGTCGACTGCCGGCATACTTGCCTCTCTTGGCTGAAGTGTTGGTGGGTTTACATCGAACAATATGAGATCACCTTCAGGAGTTGATGGCGGATTTTGCTCTGGAGTAATGTTTTCAGTTTAAGATATATTTTGCTCTGGAGTAACGTTTTCTACATTTTGCATTATAAGCAAAGCTAGTTGGCATTGTCATTTACAAAGGTTTCCATTTAAATTCATATGTTTATTAAGATCTCGAGTTTTACCAGTTCTTATTTCTCGATCACAACCTGGACATTTAAGTATCTTAGCCATAGTAATATGTTTTTTCAGTATTTTTTATTAATATACCAGATCTTTTGTTTAAATAAAAAATAATTATTCATTTATTGAAATGTTTAGTGAATATATTGAGGGAGGTAAATATATCAAAAAGTCAGAGATAAATATACATGCAAATATATACACAATTCTGGAGAAGTTTGCGGATGTGGGTGTCGACATTCTGAAGGGTGCCATGAACATTGGAGATCTAAAAAATGTGTTTTATGTAATGATTATAGAAAACCTACAGCTTCTGCTTGTAGACGTTGCAAAAAATATTCTAAACGATATTATATCATGCAATTTTATGCTTGACAACTTCAGATGCTTGAAGACTACCTATGACTCTTTGAGTTATCCTTCAGGCCTGCAAGACAATAAAATTTAACTATCTTTTTTACCATAGAAATCTAATTAATAACTAAAAGATTACTATGCTCCGCTTCGCTCCGCAACTGCGTCGCTCACACCTAAGGTGTATACTCCTTAGTGTTAAGAAACTAATTGTGAATTAAACAGATAACTAATGCTACGCTATACTTCGCATTCGGAGTCGCTATGCTCCTCCAGTACAAAAAACTAAATAGAAATCAAATATGATAACTATGCTCCGCTTCACTCCGCAACTGCATCATACACCCTTAGGGGAGTGTACTCCTTAGTAATAGAAAGCTAAATAGTAATCAAAATAGATATCAAAAAAGTACACCAAGCATGAAGTATATATAAAAATACACCATTCATGAAAGTTTTTTATATATTATATATAAGTTATATAAGTTATTAAGAATACGATAAAAACTTAAAAAAAAACAAGAATAAATAGTGTTATCAAAAAAACACAACCGTGTACCTAAAAAGCCCACTATTTCTACTACTTATCTAGATATCTATTATGAATATTGAGAAGTGTTGGTAATTTTTTGATTAGTAATTTAATTTTGAAAAATCTGATTTTTGCTTTTGTAGAGCAAGTTAATTTGGCTAGTAGTTTGTCTTCGAAGTTTATATATTTGTAAATTAGCTATTAATTTATATTGAAGTTGTTATTAACTATAGCTAGATACACTTTTGATATATTTAGAAGTTTATTCTCTTTGCTTTTTGTATATTCTTTATTGTTTTTTTTACTAGATATAGTAAATTGTATGAGGCTAAGTATAAAGTAAAGGTGTTAGATAGTATTTTTGATAGGTTAAATTCTGTGAAAATTGGTAGAAAAGTAGTGTTTAGTTTTGATTTTTATTATTGTAAATTTGATAAGTACAAAAGTGCTTATGCTTTGTAAATAAGTGGTAAAGTTGTTTTATTTTAATTTTTAATTGTTAATAGATATAATAATTTGGTTTAGATTTATATGTTTTAGATATTTAAAGGTTGTATAAATAATTAATATAGTTTTACTTAATAAAATTGTAAGACAAATTAAAGTTGTAGTAAATACTATCTTTTGTAGTATAAACTAGGTATTGTTTTTTATTGTAATAAATAGTTTTTTATTATCAATAATGATTATTGTAATTGGGTATATTATTTGATTGTGTTAATAAGTTGTTATATTGATAGTAATATTATAAGTATCTTTTGGTATAAGTTGTAAGAATTTGTTTTATATAGTGTCTTGCAGATTACTAAAAGTATAAGCTACTCTGTATGAATTGTATATATAGCTATATACTTTTACTATAATTACTATATATAAAAAGATTATTATTTCTTAATCTATAGATCATTTTTAGACAAATTTGCCTAGAAAATTTTTATAATTTGTATTATCATACAGTTAAACCTCTATATATATATACTTTATAAATATATATACTCTATAATTGCACCCTTTATTTTATTTTATTGCAGGAAGGAAGAAAAATTAAATGTTTTAACTCTGTTAGAAAAGAGTATCATGTAGCCTTG